CAGCCCGGGCCGGCTCCCCAGCGCCGGGGACCGAGCGGCCGCGGGGGTCGGAGGCGCCGGCCCGGCTACGCCACCTCGCCGTGCTCGCCGCACGTGAACGTGCAGGGGCGAGGCGCGGGCTCTGTCCGCCGCTCGCTCGCTCATAAAATGGGAGGCTTGAGATGAACCTCCCGGCAGGGCCAGAGCGCGGCCGAGCTCCTCTGAAAAAGTTACTCTCTGCTGTCTGCATTGAGGGCCCCCCCCCCCCCCGAAGAAAATGTGAGAAATAGAGCTTAAGAGTCACTTGACTCCCGTGACGTCACGGTAATTTTATTATTTCTGCACACTGTACTTTATTATTAGAATTTTTTTTCTGTGGAATTGAAATTTTCGTTCTTCTCGAGTGCTTAGTAGCATTTTGTACTTTTGAAAGTCTTGAGTGTGTTTTACCCATGAAACTGCGAAAAACATGAAAAGTCACTTACACTTTAATGTTTTTGGTGTTTTAAAAGTCCTATCTCTTGAGGATTGAACAGTCTGACCCCATTCCTTCTAATGACTTTAAAAAAAGTTTCCTTTGAAAAATAAAGCAGTACGAATTCAAATAACAGTTTTGAAATATTTGTGTATAATTTTGTCACACACTAAAGAATTCTTTGGGGTGAAAAAATTGAAAACAATTTAAGAGTATGTCAGAGACACTTAAGTGCTACACTGTATTGAATCTACAAATGTTTTAGGTGCTAGTAAGGGTCAAAAGGCTTACTTGAGGGAGTCTTTGCCTTTGTAAATATTGCTTTAATATAACTTAATATTTATGGAATACATACTGCAGAAGGCACGATGGAGACTGCTTTAGATGTATCTAGTACTTAAAACTACTCTGAATTAGTGGCATCTAATTAAGTCAGTTTTTCCTTTTGTTTTAGAATCTATCATATCTGTTAAATAACTATGGAAGAGTATACCAAGATAGAGAAAATTGGAGAAGGTGAGTGGTTTTAATAATAAACACTTTTTTTTTTTTGGCAAACCGGGGATGGAACTCAAGCTCTTGCACTTGCCAGGGAAGCGCTTACTCCACTGAGCCATCTCCCCTGCCCTTAAACACATTTTAAGAAATTGTTTAACAATACTTCTGTAACGTTGAGGACACAAAAATATTAAGATATGGCCATTAAGATGTCTTGTAAACTGAGTTTGATGGTGCCTGCCTGTGATTCCAGCTTTCTGGGAGGGTGAGGCTGGAGGATCTCTCAAGCCCACCCTGGTCAACTAATGGACTTACTAAGATGCCATGCCAAAATAAAATATTAATAAAGAAGTGGAGATGTAGTTAAGTGCAAAGGCCCTGGTCCGGTTCCCAGTACCACAGGAAAAGAGGAGTCTTGTAGTGCTAATGTGGATTGGTGTTCTACAGTGACTCCGTGGTGACTCCCCACCCCATAATCAGAATGTTTGATACTAAATGTTTGAGTGTTTGTGTTTTGAAAACACTGTAATTTCTGTGTGTTGGGATGACAAAAGTTAGGACTGTAGTACTATACTAATTTCATAAAATATTTTAGTCTTTTATAGTTACTTTTAGTATATATAGCTAAATTTTACCTATGCCTTATTAAACTGGTTATAATAAATTTTGTTTTTAAGACAGGTTTTTTTTGGGTAATTTAGGCCAGTTGTGAACTCACTGTAGTGCAGGCAGGCCCCCAGTTGAAGATTGTCTTGCCTCAGCCTCCCAAATGCTAGATTACAAGCATGTAGTACCCCCACCCAGCCTATAACAATTTGTATACTAATTTAAAATAGTTTCTAGATGTAAGTAACCTGACACATGTTTGGGTATAAGACATTTGAAAACTATTAAGTTTTGTGGGTAATCTTCACTTTCTATCAGACTTCACAGAGTGTTTGGACCTAGCTGGACATGGTGGCACACCTGTTATCGCAGTTACTGGGCAGGCTGATGCAGGACAGTTGTGAGTTTGAGTTTGGCCTGGGCAACTTAGTGAGGTCTTATCTCAAAATAGAATTTAAGTGGGCTGGCTTGTAGCTCAGTGGTAGAGCACTGGCCTAGGATGCTTGAAGCCCTAGGCTCAGTTCTCTCCACCAAAAAAAAAAAAAATCTATATAGTATAAATACATCTTTTTGCCTAGGTATTTTCTGTTGGGTTTTATTTTTTTTAAGGCAGAGTCTTGACTACGTGGTTCAGATTGCCTCTGAACTCATTGTGTAGCCCAGGCTGACCTGAACTTCTGGCAGTCTTCCTACCTTAGCCTCCTAAACTCTAGGGATTATAGGCGTGCACCACCTCATCCTGCCAGCCTGGATTTTTAAAATTTTTTCACTCACAAGACATCCAACTTTGTATATAAAAATTCTGAAGTGCTTTTTTACGGCTTTCCAGGAGCAAATGATAAAACTTGTACAAAGTACTTTGCTGTAAGAGTCCAACTCACGTGCATTCTGCTGGAGAAACACTTTTGTCTGTGTCTTGTTCTCTCAAAGACCCCAGTTATACAAGGCATATTAAACAGCATGAGTCATACTGTGTGCAATTTAGTGTGATAGACCAAGGTTCAGTGTTGAGTTGCAGATATATTACAAGGTCTTTTTAAAAATAAATTCTCGGGGAAAAATAAATAAATAAATAAATAAATTCTCGGGCTAGGAATATAGTTGAGTGGTTTAAACACCTGCCTGGCAAATGCAAGGACCTCAGTTTGATCCCTTGTACTGCATGCCATGCTGTCCCCAGAACCCCAGATGCACTGTTGCCCCCAAAACTGGGCATGGTGATACATGTTTGTAATCCCAGTGCTGGGGAGGCTGAGACAGGAGGATCACAAGTCTGAGCTGTGTAGTGAGACTTTGTATCACATAAATAATTAAAAATAAATTTTCATAAATACATTAAATCTTTTCTAGTAGGGTAATTTTGCTGCTGAATTACAAGTATCCATAATGTTGGGCAGTTACTGTTATTGCCATGACTGCTGTGTTCACAGCTACCTCCATTTTGTAGCCTCCAGGACAACCTGCTTGATGCTCCCTCATTGGTGCTTCTTAGATCTTCTCAAGTAGATCTACATTCTAACCTATAGGTCTTTGGCGACAGCTGTTCTTTCTTCCCAGAAGCCACCACGAATTGGTTTTACTCTTCACCTTCTTGGTCTTGGCCAAAAGAGCTTGGTAGCTCCATTGGCATCGTGCCCAGCAACTTTGTTTTTGTTTTGTTCTCATAATACTGGGGGTTGGACCAACCCAGGCTGGCCTTGCACTGAGCTACATTCCAACCCTTATTTTCGTTTTGCAGTAGGGTCTTGCTAATTTGCGAGGCTACCCACGCTACTTGAACTTGGCATCCTAACTTGGCCAGATTCTTCTGGAACTTTCTATCTTTCTACCTCAGCCTCCTGGAGCACTGGGGTTACAAATGTGCACCACCACAATCTGGCCTAATCCCTTTTTTATTTCATTGTTGTAGTGCATGAGGGCTGTCAGTTTTGTCTTGTTTTCAAATGTTTACCTATGGCCTGGCAATTTGTATAGTCCAGGGGAGATACTTAAATATTTGATAATAAAATTTTCTCTTTTCCTTGTGTGTTTTTCTGAACTCTGTTTTTTTCTTTTTCTACCATGTATAGTTTTGTCTACTCCAGTGCCTGACTGTTTTGGGATTTTGTGTTTGACATGGTTTGGTTTGGTTTTTCTTGTTATGGTTATGTTTTGTTTTGTTTTGTTTGCAAGACAGTTTCTTCAATGTAGCCCAGGCTGACCTCACACTTATTCCTCCATCCTGCCTCAGCTTCCTAAGTGTCATTTGACTGGATAATGGTTTTGAAAAATTAACTTGTGGAAATAAAGACATAGATGATGTCTTACATACAGTTTTCTGCCAGGTACCTGGACAAACTGGTAACTGTAGTGATTTTAAACTTCATTTGTGAACTTTTATTTTGAACATTTCCAAACCTCAGATCATTTGAAAGAGTTCTATGGTGAACCTATAATATCGTCACATTAGTGGCCTATCCCACGTTGTGTGTATGTGCATTAGCAATTTGATACTTGAAGATCTATCTAAAGTTACACATTTCATTTGACAGTTTTGCCTGGATTTTTTTTTTTTTTTTTTTTTTTTCTGTATTTTAGGGAAGGGTCTACAGGGTGTTCATGGTCTTACTACTAGATCAGACTCATAGTGATCCTCCTGTTTACAGCCTTCCAAGTTCTGGGATTACAGGTGCTCACCACCACGCCCAGTCTCAATTGCCTGCCCATTCAGCATGCCCTGTGCACCGGGGCAGGGCCTGCATGGCAGGCCTGGCCCAGCCTGGGGATCAAACCCCCGGCCTCTGTGCCTGCCTGGATTTTTTTTAAAATTAAAAATTCTGTGTGTTGTCCATCTTTGTGTTTGTGGTGCTTTTGGGGATTGAACTCAAGGGCTGTGCTTGGGTACTCCAAGCCTTTAAAACATGTTTTTCTTTAAAACTTTGGGAGTGTCTCTCAAGCTGCCAGACTGGACTTGATTTTTTGTTTTGTTTTGTTTTGTTTTGTTTTGTGATGCTAGTAGTTCAGTGCAGAGCCTTGTGAAGGCTTTGCAAGCCCTGTATCACTGAGCTATGTACATCCCCAGCCCTTCCTTTGATCAGTGTCTTGGTAAATTATCCAAGTTGGCCTTGGCTTGGATATTACAAAGTTGACTTTTAGCTGCTGAATTAAAAAAATCTGAATGCAGTCATGCTAGTCTTTGAAAGTCTTCTTGTCTAATGACAGTGTCTTTGGCTATGTCCATGATGGAGGAAACTGGAAACTTACTGGCATTTAGTAGACACTCTGAAATAAAGCTCACTGCTCACCACCTTGGCTTCCATACCTGCTCATTCCTCTTCTGTGTTTCGTGGGAGAAGTCTTCTGTTAGATTGGGTAGCTTCCAAGCTTTTCTGTGTTACCATGATTTTTACTTGCTTTTAAGGTAGTATTTTTCTTTTTTTCTTCCTTGCTTATTTAGTAAGCTATTTAAAATAGTTCTGTAGGTGGGGCTGGTGAGATGGCTCAGTGGTCTAAAGCACCTACTTAGAACAAGCTTAGCAAAGCAGAGGGACCGCGGTTCAATCCCCCAGCACCACATGCCAGCCAGCCCCGCCCCCTGGTGGGCTGAGCTGGCCACACACACACACACACACACACACACACAAA